ATCTCAAAAAAGATTGCAACTTTATCAGATTTTTGTGCTCAAATTGGTTATAATGTGTTGCATGTTCAAAACGGTGTATAATTATACTGTCTTTATTTCACATGATATATATATTTTTTTAATGATGTTTTTGTGATGTTATCGCAAAAAAGATTGCAACTTTATCAGATTTTTGTGCTCAAATTTGTAGTAAGGTGTTGCATGTTCAAAAGGGTGTTTAATTATGCTGTCTTTATTTCACATGCTACAATTTTTTTTTATAGTGATTGTTTATGGTGTGATGTTTTTCGAGGTTTTTCAGACAGTTTCTGTTGGGACTAAAGAAGTACGGAAAGGGGGATTGGAGAAACATATCTCGTAATTTCGTGACAACGAGGACACCTACACAGGTTGCTAGTCATGCACAAAAGTATTTCATCAGACAGCTTTCTGGAGGGAAAGACAAGAGGAGATCAAGTATACACGACATCACAACCGTCAATCTTGATCACGAAGCCAACGCTTCTTCTTCTTCGCCGGAGAAAGACGGGCCCCACTCGCCCGAAAAATCGAACTTCACATTGCAGCCGCCACATCAGCACAGTTTGGACGGAGATATTGTGGTGAGAGCAACATACGATTCTTGTCTGAGAAATAATAATTCAGGCGAAATGATGGGATTTAGTAGTAATTGCCCACAAAACGGAAGCTTAATGATTACTCATCTTCAAGGGAGTTCTTCGTTCGGGATTAATCTGCATGAACACGATATGCACAGAATTGATCCACACGGGCTCAGATTAGGGCATCATGGTACGGTTTTTCAAATGCATTCGACTCGACATAGTTAGTTTTTAGACACATATATATGTCCCAATACCTTTTTTTAATCAGGGGGGATTGATCGCTTGGTTTCGTTTCGATGAAACTTAGAAGATCACAGAAAGCTGCATCGTCAAATAAAACTAACACGATTCCAAGGTAAAAAAAGAACGAGAAAAATCGAGCTAGAAGAAGGAAACGCTTTAACTAGCTAGTGCTTGTAGATATTATTATTATTATCGTTGTTGTTGTCGCTGCTATTGTCGTTGCTATTGTTGTTGTTGTTCATCCACAAAGTGCTAATAAATATTGAACAACTATTTGTCTGAAAAGACAATTATTTTGTTGTTAGTTTCATTCAAATCATCTGCAATTGAATTGTCACATATTTTTTTATGACTAATACAATCTAGTAGTTATATTCTTGATTACCTTTTCTCTAGAGTCAATTGATGCTCCCCTTTTCCAATAAATTGTTACATCCCTTCTAGGTTCGGATAACGATTATTCGAAGACGACGGTGTTTTAATATTCAAAGTTACATACACTAAAAAAAAAATAAAAAAAAATAGCAACTCCATTTCCATTTGATTCTTTGGTAACACTATATATCTTCCTAAAAAGTGTTTTTTGCACAGAAAGTTTATACAGGTTGATACTAAAATACCACCAAAAAGAGATGAAGATATCTAAAGTCTAAACAGTTGCTGAGATTCTCTTTTGTGAGTGGACTAAAATACCCCCACCCCACCACCACCCACTAGGCAGAGAATTTGGAAGAACAGCAATAGCACCAGCATTTCCACAAGTTTGTTTGGTAAATGACAAACTAACCCCACTACTTTTCTTTTTCCAAAGGGAGCAACTTTAATTTTTTATTTTTTGCAAGTTGCACCACTAATATAAAAATAAAAAAAAAAAAAAAACTTTACTGCCTTTTTTATTCTGATGTGATATTCCTTTTCCCTTTCAAGTATATTTAGACCTTATACCTAATCTCACCACCTATATGTATTTAAATTAAAATTTAAATAAATTAAATTAAATTAAAAAAAAAAGATTTATTTTTGTGTTCTTTATTCTTTATTTTCATTAGATTCTGATACCTTTTCCCTGTAATGATGTCAATAGTGATGCAACACTACTGATTCTGGAAAAAAAAGAAAAGGGAAGAGAGAAACAAGAGATGGGTAAATATCCCGGCTTGTGTATATATTATATATTATATATATATAAAGTAATAAAAATAATTATTTATGATGCTTCATCTTTTGTGGGACCCAACTCAAATATGCACCAAGAACATAATATTTGGTGGGCACCTTTAATTTCGTGCTTAATGTATATTATCATTAGCATATAATGATTTTGGTAGTTGAATTCAAGATTCATATACATTTGTCAACACCTCCAAAAAAAAAAGAAGTCAACTTTGTGAACACCAAATTAACTGAAAATTCAAGATTCATAAACATTTCATCACTCTAGACATAAAAATAAAAAATAAAAAAAATTAGGCCATCTTAAAACTATAATTCATGGTTAATTAAATATTTAGGTGGTAGATAGATACATATGATTATGCTTATTCCTATAAATTATAATTCTCACCCAATTATGGATCATGGACCATTGTGCCGAATGCTACATATTGCCAGCCCATTTCAATACTTAGAAGTTAGAACAAATAATATACGATGGATTCTTTTTTTTTTTTAGGAAATTCAAGTCTTACGATTACCCTCATAATATTAATATAAATTAAATTGGGACTATCTCCTCCTAAAATACTTGCATCGGAATGAATTATTAATTTATTTATTTATTTTGCAGATTATAACAAATTAATTACGTCATCTCTCTCTCTCATCTATCCATCTATCTATTATTATTATTATTATTATTTATTTATTTTAAGAAGAACATATGAGAAGAATACCTACATAATAAATAATTAATTGTTTTGTGACGTAAAATATATTTGGAGGTGGTGTCCGAATGGAATGGATATAAGAGTTATCCAAACAATGTCTAATTCTGTACTTTACCAACACAACACAAAAGAAACACGGTTGTAATTAATGTAATAATATCTTTAAACCACGTGGAATTGTCGGATTTTGCATGTTGGGCCGGGCCACCTTGTTTTACCGGACCATCTTTGCCCCGTTTACCCAAACCGAATATACGAATGATGGGCCTATTAGTTTCTCACTTCTAAAGCGTGAGGGCCTATTTTTTATATTGTCCACATATATATTTTATTTACAAATTAATATCAACGTTAATCAAAATATACACTTCTTTTGATATTTTTTTTCCAAATATCTATTTTTTATTAATACAAAAAGAAAGATGTTAAGAGAAAATAACATATTTTTTTCAAAAAGTACCTCTACCTTTTTATTTACGAATTTTTAATGAGTAAAATTAGCAGATACTCATATTATCATTATCCAAATATTTTTAAAAATAATTCTAAAAATAAAATATAACTATCAATTCTTAAAGCATCTTATTAGACGTAAGAGTTTATCAGCCACTTAAAATAATCTTAGCCATACAAACAGTGTGCAGCCATACTCGACTTTGAAACACTATCGATATATAAATAGAAAGAAAAATAAAGAAAAGTATCAAGTGATGAGCAATCCTTGATCACACAAAGTGGATGATGAATGTAAAGAGAACACACACACAAAGAATAAAAAGAACATAAAAAAGCAAAAAAAAAAAAAAATTAAAAATTAATATATTTAAATTGGCAATATAATGACTGTGAATGGAGCTGGCTAGACAGGTCGAATTTGCCCCATGCCCAGACATGAATGATAACCATCGTTTTTTTGTTAAATTAAAGTAGCTTCACTTTTATTATTTTATTTATTTTTGTCCCAACTTCTAATTAAGTAATTTTAATTTTTAGTCCTTGAATCCCACATATTTACAACCTAAAACATGCAGTGAAAGGACGTAATATTTTTATACTTTTCTAAAATAAATAAAACCATGACGTAATAATTTAATGGTTACATTGTACAATCTCATTTTGTCTTCTTCTTTTTCTCCTCATTTATTAAATTTAAATCTAATAATAATATGTTATACTTTATTACTACATGACATGCACAAAAAATATGAAGGTGCATGAACGAAGACATGCTTCTGACCATTGTCGTCACTCCACATCCAGTGCACAAAAAAAGAAAAAAAAAAAGGAAAAAAAAAGATTATTTTGCTAATTTTTTTATTCCCAAAAAATGATAAGTTGGGTAATAATTAATCATTAACAAAATCCAGCCAATAGCAGATAGACACGTATGCACTTCCACTATCAGCGGATTGCACATATATATTGTGTAGGCAGCCACTATCAGTGGATGCAATAAGGAAATGTCAAGTTTGATTTGTCAAAAATGGCTATCCTTGTTTTCCACATGTTATTATTAAACTTATGTTATCTAATAATATCATTTTTTAGTAACTTTATGACATGTGACTTTTAGTGCAACAACATTTTTTTTATAAGAACGATGATTAATAGGTTGGGTTGGACGGTGAAGATTTATTAGGCAAAATGATCAATAATTTCTAATGTTTATTCATTTATAAAAAAATTATCGTATAAATATTTAAGTCGGAGTTCAACCGGTCGATCGGATTGACATATTCGATTCGGTTACGACAACAATGAAATTTATTTTTGAAAATTGAAATCGTTCGTTAGAATTTTCCGTGTGGGTTATCGTAAATTTTCTTCATTTATAAAAAAAAAAAGGAAGGGTTTTTTAGGTATGATGGCTTTATAATTCATATCCATTTATTTTTGGATCTTAGTTGAATTTCTTAACTAATGCACCGTCCTATTAGGCAAATTTGGTACTTAATTATTAACAAAGGAAGGATTTATTATGTGTGATATTATAGTATTAATACCTATTTAATTTTGGAGTATAGTTTAATTAGTTAATGCATGCACCAACCTATCTAGGCAGAAAATGTGGGTCTAGTCACCATCTATAGGTTTGATGAGATAATTTATATAAGTTACGTTCGTAATTAAATGACAATGACACAGTCTAATTAAGTAATTATTCACTAATTTTCTCTAATCAACACAAAGTGCGCGATTAAGTTACTAATTGATTTTCCCACAAATGGCAGTATACAATTATTTAATTTAATAACAATAAATAATCACAACATTCCGTATTGGAATTAGTTACCATTTGCTAGTGGACAAATAATGTTACTAGTGCAATGATTATATGACTCTGCCCAATTCATTTGAATTAATGAATTAAATTAAAAATAGAAATAAAAGAAAGTACTATTAAAGAAACAAGACACTAACGAGTAACGACCGGATCGGACCACCTTCATTTAATAACTAACAAAGTGCATGAACCCACTTTCTCTCTCTACTTACTATAAATAACCCCTTCTTCTCTCTCCAATTTCTACACACACTCTCTCTCTCTATATCTCTCTCTCTAAATTACACAAAAACAAAGGACTAAATAATAAAAAAGAAAGAAAGAGAAGAAACGATGCCGTCTTCATCAGTAGTGATTGTCTCAAAATGCACTATATACCCCGAACGCAGCTCCACGATAAAGTCCCTGAGGCTCTCCGTATCTGATCTCCCCATGCTCTCCTGTCAGTACATTCAAAAGGGGGTTCTTCTGCCGTCGCCGCCTCTCTCCTCCGCGGATCTCCTCTCTCTCATCAAGCTCTCACTTTCCAGAACCCTCTCTGAGTTTCCACCGCTCGCCGGCCGCTTGCAGACCGACGCCGTCGGACACGTGCACATCGTTTGCAACGACGCCGGCGTTGATTTCTTCCATGCCAAGGCGCCGCACATCTCCGTCGCCGCCCTGCTTCCGCCGCACGATCGTGATATACCGTCGGTGTACCGCCGGTTCTTCCAGTACGATAGCACGCTGAGCTACGCCGGACACGATAGGCCGCTCGTGGCGGTGCAGGTGACTGAGCTGAACGACGCCGTTTTCGTCGGGTGCGCCGCGAATCATGCCGTGATGGACGGAACCTCGTTCTGGAATTTCTTTAACACCTTCGCTGAAATGGCGAGTGGGGCGAAGAAGATCTCGAGATCGCCGGACTTCAGCCGCGACACTGTTTTTGATTCGCCGGCGGTGCTGGCGTTCCCCGAAGGAGGGCCGTCGGCGACCTTCTCCGGCGACGAGCCTTTGCGCGAAAAGATCTTCCATTTTAGCAGAGAAGCGATTATGAAGCTGAAATTCAGGGCAAATAACGCCGCCCAAAAGCCAGAATTCGGTGTCCCGGAGATCTTGGGGAAACAGAGTAACGACAGTTGGGCGGTTAACTGCAAAACTAACGGAAAGATAACGCCCGTTAATGACGAAAGTACTTTAGTGAAGAAAAATCCAACGGCTGAGATTTCATCATTCCAGTCACTCAGCGCCCATCTCTGGAGATGCGTGACACGTGCCAGGAACTTAGACGCAAACAAGACGACGACGTTTAGGATGGCAGTGAACTGCAGGCACCGGCTCGAGCCGCGGCTGGAGCCGCTCTACTTCGGCAACCTAATCCAGAGCATCCCAACCGTCGCCACCGCGGGAGAGCTGCTGTCGAACGACTTGAGCTGGGGGGCGGATCGGCTGCACCAGAACGTGGTGGCGCACGGGGATGGTACGGTGCGGCGCGGCGTGAAGGAGTGGGAGAGCAATCCTAGGTTGTTCCCACTTGGGAATTTTGACGGTGCGATGATGACCATGGGAAGCTCCCCTAGGTTCCCAATGTACGACAATGATTTCGGGTGGGGCCGACCATTGGCCGTAAGAAGTGGTGGGGCCAACAAATTTGACGGCAAGATCTCGGCCTTCCCTGGCCCTGAAGGAAATGGAAGCGTTGATCTTGAGGTGGTGCTTGCACCCGATACTATGGCCGTCTTAGAGAATGATTTCGAATTTATGCAATTTGTTTCTTGAATTATGTTATTTTATTCGCTCCTAAAAAAATTAGTAACTTTTTAATCTTTTAATTTGAAAATGCAATTATGGGTCTAGATGGAAGGTCGATTTAACCCTCGCCAATATTGACTCTTCTCGAACCTCTTTCCCAATTTTGATTGCTAAAAAAATATTTTGTTCACCAAAAATTTTAGGGGCTTGAGCCCCGGAGAAACCCTCAAGTAATTCGTAAAATAGTTCAAGAAAGAGTAAAAATGATAAGAAAAACGAATAAGTAAAACAATATGAGATTCATGTATTGGACGTGTATTTTAGTGTGTGTATTGCGTGTAATATAAAGTGTAACTTTTGTGATGGAGAATATGATGCATTTATAAGTCTTGCATATTTTTGAAGTGTTGAAACAATTTCGAACCCATTAAATATGATAAAGTTGGACCACGGTCCACCAATGAACTTCAAACCCAAATATTTATACGAGCCCAATAGTTTGCCAAATTGAGCCAACTCAAGTCCATTGGTTAATTTACGAAATTGTCTAGGAGTTAGAATTGATAACTCTAGCAAATCAAGTAATTGAATCATGAATCAAATTCTCTACAACGAATTATATATATATATATATATATATATATATATATATATATATATATATATATATATATATATATATATAGAGAGAGAGAGAGAGAGAGAGAGAGAGAGAGAGAGAGAGAGAGAGAGAGAGAGAATTAGAGGCTACTAATTAAAATGTTCAGAAATAAAACAGAAAGAGACAAGACAAAAAAAGAAACAGAGGGGCGGGGTCGTAATTAATGGACAAGATAAGATGGCAGTTAGATGTGGAGAACGAAGACAAGTAGGGAAATCCAGTGTATCATAATATTCTTATTATTTTTTTTTTAAGGCTTTATTATTATTATTATTATTATTATTATTATTATTATTGTTATCCCCTTAAATATTTTGTTGTTTAGTGAGTATACTGATGGGGTCATGTCACATTCAACTGTGTGTGGCAACTTTGCAACAGTTCTAATGTTCTATTATGATTGGTATGCATGGTTGGATAACTACTTTTTATTTTGGTAAGTACGATCGTCGCTGAAGTAATGTTATAATACGAAAGTCCTTCCTCGTGCTTGGATAATTACGACTACTTCTCAATTATAATTTTTTTTACACATCTTACTTTATAGTGTCAAATTCTTACACTTTTTAACTATGTTTGGTAATGTTCTCTAATTTGTACTTGTTTTGTGCAAAAACGCAGTTTATGTATGAGCATTTTGTTTCAAAATATGGAGCTTGAATGGGGTAAAACGAGTACAAACAGGAGAATATCCCTCATAATCTAAAAGATTCTACTAAATTTGATACTAAAGGATGGACGTGTAAGAAAATTCATAGAAGAATGGTGATTGTAATTACCAAAACATGAAAGATTTTTTTTTTTTTTTTTTTTTTTTTTGTAATTTAACCGTACCTCATACAAATAACCGTAATTTGTGGTCTTAATTTCAAATATAAGAGCCTATAAGATATTTTAAATAAGTTTCGCCAAAGGGGCTTCATAGCCATCTTTGTGTCCATTTTGAACTTGTCCAATGGACATGCTGTTTAATTTATCATTCCACGTGACCCATAATCTCGATTCAATTTTGTTGCAATATATAAATCGGGCCTCCATTGTTAATTGCATGATTAAATAATTTTGTACAAGGTTTCCCCACTGATTACAAAAATCTCGTCCACAATGTATTTCCCAAACAAAGTGAAAGTAATATATAAACTAATTATTTTTTCAAAAAATACACGTGGCATGAATTACAATTCAATTGCAGGGGGAGGCGCGTGGACCACACGGCGAAACCACCACTGAAAAGGTCTAAAGAACTGAGCTCTCTTCTTCCTCCAGAACCATATAGCAGCATTATACTGTTCGTTCCGGATCTTTCGAGTGGCAGCCCTCCAATCATACTTCTCCATTTCCACACGCGCCTCTCTCCCAATCACTTCCCTCAGTTCTTGATCATGCAGAAGAGGCTTCAGTTTGCTCAAACAGTCGTCGAGATCTCCGGGATTATATAAAAACCCCGTTTTGCCCTCGTGATCCTCCGGGATGATGTCCGGGATACCACCCGCACGTGCCGCCACCACAGCAAGTCCTGATGACATGGCCTCCAATACCACGAAGCCGAGTGTCTCCGACTCTGAAGGCATTACGAAAATGTCTCCGCTTGCGTATGCTTGGGAAAGTTCTTCTCCGTGTAATGTTCCCGTAAAAACTGCATTCATCCCGGAGAACATTTGCTCCAGCTCCCCTCTGTCGGACATAAAAGATTAGCCGTGATTAATTAATTAATTTTTTTAAAATATATTTTTGATTAATTTAATGATTTTTTTATATTTATCGAGCATTTACCTGAATGGTCCGTCCCCGATGAAAGCTATTCGAGCTTCTGGAAGCTTATCCATGACACTGTTTCAAATATTAAGGAGATTACTTAGGCCTCGTTTGGTTGGTAAGATAAGTATGATTAATTAAATATCCATTTGAAACAGAAGAGTAATAAATACCCTTTGAGGAAATCCAAGCTTTTCTCGACTCCAAGCCGACCTACGTGAACTATCAATGGCTTGTCGGGTTCTCCATTGCTGATTTTAAGAACAAACTTCGTTAGCGCACATAACAAAGATTTTCATATTTCAACGTAAATGAAATTACGGTAATTGCATGATTTCATTACCTTAATCTAAATCTCATTTCTTGAGAGCGAAACCGAGGGTTGAAGCTCTCAGAATCGACACCCTTATTCCAGAGACGTATTTTGTTTGCTGCAATTTTGCAAAAAATAAATTAATTAAAAAAAAATTCGGGCTTAAGACAACGACAATGTTCTGTTTGGATAATAATCGACTAGAATAAGGATGTTAAAATCTCACATGCTGTTACTCGAGCTGCTTGTAGATCCTTTGCAATGGCAGCAGATGGCACCAGCGTAAGATCGGCGGCTCTGTGCAGAAATTCTGGTGAAAGATTATTCGATGTTTTTATTTTATCCACAAATTTAAATAAAAAAACCAATTATTGGAATTGTGACGGTGGAAATAAATAAATCGACTTACTAATAACTAACCACATTGGTTTGACCAGCCAACTAAAGGTATACCTGGGTATATATCTGCGAAACACAAACTCGATTTTGAATACGATACACAACGTAAAAACGAATATGAAAGCAAAAAAGGGTTTAAACGTACGTACACAGGAACATGTGTGTGATATGATATCACAATAGGTACAGACAGCAGTTTTGCAATGATTAGAGCGCCAAATACCTACGATGTAAGTATAGACGATCGGAATTTTTTTTTTAAATGAAGACAGCATTGTCTGCGTGGTAAAAGAAAAAAGATTTCCAGAATATACCATAATGCCGGGAGACGATGCGTGTATGATGTCGGGTTTGAATTTGGCAACTGCCGAGATTATTCGTGGGCTGAGTGCTAGCGAAAGAGGTACTTTTTGGTACCACGGACAAGGGAAGCTGAAACGAGAATATTTGTTCTATTAGTACAAGTTAGTTTCGATATACAAACAGCTAAATTGAAGTCGCATTGTTATTTATTTTTTTATTTTTTTTACGGTTAAATAACCTTCTTGAGCCAATCAATTGAGCTCCGTAAAATTCCTGCGGCACTCCTTCGTGTGTTGTCACAACCATGACCTGAAAGCTCGATATTTGAAACGTCGGTTAAAAACTTAGTTGCGTGGAAACCGTATACAGAAAACCCGGAAATTAACAAGAAGATAAGTAATACCTCATCCCCCATTTCGCGTAGATATCTAATGAAATTCTGGAACCTGTTCTTGTATCCAGACACATACCTGCATATATACATAATTCCAAAACGTATAGTTGCCAAAATCATTTTGCGGATTCGGAAATACGACGACGCAACGACACGAGGTGCTTGAATTAAAATAGTAAATAAATCAATCTTTCGGGATCATGAATACGGAAAATGTTCACAAATAACTAACTTAACCATCTATGAACTAATTCGATATTAATTAGCCGAATCAAATCACGCTAACCATGTACATTGCATCAAATTACTCCATCCAAAAAGGAGGAAGAAAAAAAATTACCCACCTTCAAAAAAAGACAATAAAATACATAATTATAAAAATTCAAGTCTGTCAAAACTTTGGAAACTCAGAGTTACAGCAAGATTCGACAAACTCGTGCGGCAAAAGTAATAAACGGTCAAAAAAGAATTACTTTCAGACTTACGCAAACGGAGAAGGTTCAACGAAGAGAGCAATGCGTCTGGGTCTAGAATTAATCTCGGACTCAACCATGGGAGGAGGGTTTTCTTCTTCTCCTTCCTCGTACTCACTGCTACTGCTAGCAGCTGCTGCAATGGGTTTTTCATTAGCTGATGATCTAACTTTCAAGATTCTCAATTGTTTACCCCTTTTGGACTGTAAAAATTTAGTCTTTACACAAATTTGACAAATGGGTCTTCTTATTGCTTCGGATGATGCACAGAAGCAAGTAAAATTCGTGGGAGTGTAGTTGAATGAAGAAGGAAAAGAAGAGGAAGTAGTTGAGGCAACGAAGGGAAGAGGAGAGAGAGCGGGGTTTCTAGAGAGAGAAGTTGACATGATGATTCTTGAATAAATGGGGGTTGAATTTTGAATTAGTTTTATGGAAGATTTGAGGAGCAGGAGAGAGAAAGGAGAAGCTGAGGGGCCATGGCAAAAGAAGCGATTCTTCAGATGGGATATTCTTTTTTTCAGAAATGGAAATTTGGGGAATGTAATTGGAAGGTGAGGTGCCGAGGGGGTATATGCTCCAATCCCTAAAAGAAGATGCCCTTTTTTCAGTTTGTCATTTCTTTTGGGGTCGTTTTGAGAAAATTAAAAATGGTCACGTGACTCATGTCTTGTGCAAGTATATAAGCCATATTTCATATTCTAAAAATCATCATCCAAAATTGAATTGAAAACTAACTTAAAAAAAAAAATTATTGTCACATTAAATTAAAGGCGATCATAATCATTTCAGCATCCAAAAATCATCATACAAAATTGAAATAAAATGAATTGAAACAAAGTTATAAAACAATAGCAAAACGGGGATCGAGATCGATCGATCCTTAAGAGCAACTCCAATGCTAAATAACAAAATTGAATTATCAAATATTTATTTGATATTTGAGTCAATATTTTACTATTGTTTAAAATTCATCTACTCCAACCATGTTATCAAATTAATTATTAATTGGAAGTTTATGAGTGATTTTATTTGTAATTGTCACATGTCCACTTTTGATTGGATGTTTAGATAGTTACATTTTTGATAACTCAATTTCAGTGAGTAAAAATGTAAACTCAATTTTCAGCAAGTATTTCTACATTTCAAAAGTTGAATTATCAAAATAGAACCCTAATTTGATAACCCCATTGGAGTTAAAAAATTCTATTTTTTGGTATATAAATAGTGGTTAATGGTTTGAATACCATGTTTGATAACCCCATTGGAGTTGCTCTAACAATCAATATCGATGGAGTAACATCATTCACTTTAAAAGTGAATCAGCAGCAGATCTTCTTGTACCATCCACCACCACCGCCGCTGCCGCCTTCTCCTCCTCCTCCACCACCACTTTCTTGTATCTATAATGCGGAGCCATCAATATGAATAAAACTAGATTCACACTAGTTAAACCCGCTAGCACCCAATAATACCGATCCAAACGGCTCCTATTCAACGTAAAATGAAACCAATTCCTTTTGCCACCTCTCTCACTCACTTTACCCACACCATAAACCGACAGCACACTGCACATGAATCCCACACCAAACACTCCCTTACTGAAATAGTCGAGGTATTTTTTCATCGACACCGAACACTCATTCTTGTAGATCGAACCGACGGACCTCTCCATGCCTAATTCCATAGCCGTAAGTAGAAAAAAACTGAAAGTAGAGCCAACTAACTCTCATCGGGCTTGTCGAGTAGGCCATACCTTGTAATCACTTTAATCCTCTTCGTCTCGATTTTGGCAGCAGTTATGCAGCATAGGACAGAGTAAACCATCGAAATTGCTATTGCCAATGTATTAGGTCTTTCGAAGCTTTTCGGAAATTTGCCAGCCAATAGGATTGCGCCATCTTTCGTCCAACCACCTAGCAGTAGAATTATCTTGATTGGAACTTCCCATGCTCCTAGCCCTATTTTACGATCCATGCGACTTGCCTGTTCGATAAAATAGGTGTTCCCGATAGAGGATACAATCCCGCACACTACGAACGTGAGCCACATCGGGACCATTCGTACGATGATTTTGGCAGCTTCACCTACGGAGGACAGCTGGCTCCCCTGTCGCTCGACTTTACGATACTTGGACCAACCGGTCAAGAAAATCGAGGTGGCGATGGCGCTGGAAATTGCTGGATTCCGAATGCGAGTGACCATGATTTTATGAATGGAAGTGCGATTGCTCCAATCACGGGTACGAGTACAAGTTGAAGAACATCTTGAAAGTCCAGGCGATCTCGTGGTGCTGACTCATCGTCGACGACGTCGTCGGGTTTATTAGTATCTTCGTTTTCCTCGAGAAAAGGATGCAAGGAGACGTTGTAGCCAGCTGTTCCCACAGCGAACAATGCCATGCCTGTGTAGAACAGAGCCTTTTGCGTATGGCCGATACACTCCGCCTCGTATTGCGTGCAAGTGCCTGTCCAATTGGCAAGCCCCGGCGGCGTCGACATGTCAACTAACCCGATTCCCTGGAAAAAAAACCGGAAGTTCTGAAAAGATGGGCATACGCATAATTCGAGATTTCTGAACCAACTTACTCACCAGAGTGTAGGCTATGCTGGAAATCACGAGCATCGTGAAGTTTCCGATAACTGCATCAACGAGGAAGAGAAGAAAACCCGGCAATATCATAGAGATTCCGTTCCAGATATTCAATATTCCAGCTGCGTGAGCGAAGCTTAGTCCCCAAACGTCGGTTAGATAATTTTGCATCACGAAGAATGCGAAACGAACCAATATGTGAGCCAACAGCAGTACTGCATGCAGTTAAACAGGGTTAAGAAATTAAAGATCAAACATAGCTTCGCATAATATATCGAAAAGTTTTAATTCGTCTTTACCATGAATTCGATGAGAGCAGTTCATTGCATTGTTTGCATAAAAATTAACAAGATAAAAAGATGAGAGATAAACAAACCTCGTACATATATGCATGGTGACTGCCGTTTCAGCATGTGAACGAATCTTCTTTGATTTCATCGTTGAATTCTTACAAGGATATCATACTCTTACAACACAAATGAAATATAAACAATGTTAATATGATAATATCTAACATTTATTTGTAAAATCTCAATCGCACATTTAATTTATTCATAGTGTGCAATATAAAAACAAAGGAATAATTTTACACATTTTACACAAAATAAAAAAGAAAAGAAATATACATATATAAATGCATTGACTTGGCAATTCCAAACACAATAACATCACATGCTCATTTAACATCCATAAAATTGACAAAAATAACTAAAAATGTTGAATTTTTGAAACTTGAGGAATCAAATGTATTTTTTAACATAAGTGACCAAATGTGGAAAATCGATGCTAACGTGAGGGACGACTTTTTCCTGTTTATTATTCATCATTGGAAGCTGGGTCAATCATCCCCTGCCTGTAGATGCATTTGTAACACCAAGCCACGTGTACGAACAAAACCAAAGTCAAACTAGTCAAACCTGCGAGCACCCAGTAATACCTGTCCAAACGGCTCCTATTCAACGTGAACTGAAACCAGTTCGTTTTGCCGCCAATCTCACTCACTTCACCAACAGCATAAACTGACAGCACACCGCACATGAATCCCACGCCACAAACCCCTTTAGCAAAACAAACTATGTATTTTCTTACAGATCCAGGGCACTCAAACTTCTTCGTTAACGAGGCGACGGCCATTTCGATGCCTACATCCATGATCGACAGTAGAGCAAACTGCGGGTACAGCCAACCCACTTTCATGGGGATCTCCTCATTCGGCTTGTCCAGCAAACCATGCCTTGTGATGACATTAATCCTCCGTGTCTCGACTTTCGCAGCGGTTATGCAACATAGGACGGAGAAAATCATTGCGTCTGCTATTATTGTGGGGATGGATATAAAGCTTTCTAACTTCTTCGGATACTTTTCAGCGACGAAAGCGACACCTTCTCTGCTGTACCCGCTCAGGAGTAGCAATAACTCGATCGGGGGGTTCCACGAACCTAGTTTGCGGTCCATGCGGTTCGCCTGTTCTATGAAGTACGTGTTTCCTGTTGAGGTTACAATCCCGCACACTATGAATGTCATCCACATAGGGATTGTTCGGACGGCGAATTCGGTGGTTCCGATTTGTGTTCCCGACAAGAGTTCCCATCTCCTTATTCGCTCGGCCTTACGGTATTTAAACGAACCGGTTAAAAAAACAGAGGTGGCAATGGCACTGGAAATGGCTGGGATTCCAAAGGCGAGGGACCACGATTTTATATATGGAAGTGCAATGGCTGCAATCACAGGTATGAGGACCACTTGAAAATAATCGACATCGTCTAGGTCTTCGTCTTCATTTTCGTCGCTGTCGTAGCTGTCGCTGTCTCTGTTGTCATCCACGTCAGCATCAGGACTATAATTTTCATCCTGTTCCTTGAGGAAAGGAGTCAACGAGACATTGTAACCAGATATTCCGACGGCTAGCAATGACATGCCCGTGTAGAAGAGAACTTTTTGTGCATGACCGATACACTGTGGCTCGTATTGTTTGCATGTGCCCGTCCAGTTGGCAAGCACCGGCGGTGTTGACATGGCAACCAACCCAATCCCCTGAGAGAGAGAGAAAACAATATTAATATTTAGTAATTAATTCAAAGATTTGAAATTAAGTGAAGCTCACCAGAGTGTAGGATATGCTAGAAACGACGAGCATTGTGAAATTTCCGATAAGGGCGTCGACGAGGAAGAGGAAGAACAATGGGAGTATCATGGAAATTCCGTTCCAGATATTCAACATTCCAGCGGCGTAAGTAAAGCTCAGTTCCCAAACATCGGTTAAGTAATTTTGCATCACAAAGAATGCGAATCGAACCAACACGTCAGCCAACAGCAGTACTGCATGCAAATAATTACACACATGATCAAGAAGAAAAGATCAAATACATATATAATATATATATCAAGGTCGTTAAAAAATGTTTTTTTTTTTCTCTTTACCACGAATTCGGCGAGTGTTTTTCATTATATTGCTGCTATATATTCAAACTAACTAATCTCGTGTGTGTGTGTATGATGTATGTATGTATATGTATATATATTATTGTGACTGACAGCCGTTTTGAAATGTGAAGGAATCTTCCTATCTTTCTTGATAAATGTGAACTGGCCGGCTCAATATCTCTTGATTTCAACGTTGGATAATGAAATTTGAGGGGTAGTGTGCTTCCGAAAATAGAATACAGGGGGAAATTTCGATAATGAAAGTAACATGAAGGTTTATTTAGCAATTCTGGAGTATTGCAGGGGTTTTTCAACAATATACATCACATGCTCACATTTAACATCCAAAAATAATCACACAAGATTGAAATAAAAATGTACTGAAACTAACTTACAATAAAAATAGTGTAAAATTACAGGTGATCATCCTTACTCAATATTGAGGTACATATATATCATTGATCTTCTTCATTTTGTCCTGAGACAACAGATACCACTGCCGCCACCACGCCCAATTCCACCTCCTCCTCCGCCACGTCATCCTCCGCCGCATCCCGGTTCTTGTATCTATAACACGAAGCCACCACCACAAACAAAACAAGATTCACACTACTCAAACTGGCAAGCACCCAATAATACCGATCCAAACGACTCCTATTCAACGTAAACTGAAACCAGTTCCTTTTGCCACCTCTCTCACTCGCTTTACCCGCAACATAAACCGACAACACGCTGCACATGTACCCCAGACCAAACACTCCCTTAGTGAAGTACTCTAGGTACTTCTTCATACACTCAGGCGACTGGCATTTATAAAACGCAGCGACGCTCTTTTCAAAGAAAGAATCAAGTCCCGAAAGTAGAAAGAACTGAAAGAGCAGCCAATATACGCTCATCGGAATATCCTCATCTGGCTTATCAACTAGACCGTGCCTTGTAATAACTCCCATCCTCTTTTTCTCGATTCTTGCAGCAGTTATACAACATAGGATCGAAAATATCATGGCCACTGCAATCCCTATCGAGGGTCCGTATGTTTTCGACTTCTTCAGAAACCAAGATGCCAATAACCCGAAAAATAATTTGCCCCACCCGAATAGCAGCAGAAGTATTTGAGTAGGAACTTTCCACACTCCTATTTTGCGGTTCATGTTTTTCGACTGTTCGATAAAGTAAGTGTTTCCGATAGAGGACACAATCCCACACACAATGAAGGTGATCCACATGGGCACCATTCGAACTGCGATTTTGGCATCTTCGACTTCCGATACTGAGCTGAGTCTCCATTTCTTGACTTGGTCTTCTGTGCTTACGTCTGGTAATACAATAGCAGCCTTCTCTAGGCACCTGAGTTAAAAGTGAGTAAATATACATTATTTTCAGACATGAACTAATGAAACATAGACGAAATAACATACCTGAGAAAACGAGTACGAGAAAAAGAATCCACGCCATTTACTCTGTAAAGCTGGCTTGATTTAAGTGGAAAGGATTCGGATATCTTGGAAAAAAACGCAACAAAAACTCTGCAAACGGAAGTTATTGGGCTGCCCTTTGGTTGTTCCTTATCGTACGTAAACGAACCGGTGAAAAAAAGAAGGGTTGCGATTAAAGTCAAGATTGCTGGAATCCCGAATCGAATGTCCCATGGTTTTATGTATGGAAGTGCAATAGCTCCAACGAGCGGTATAAGGACCATGAGAGTGAAGCCTGGTAGCTTTAAGCAATTTCTTGTTGAATTAGTGTGGTTATCGGGTTTATCTTGTTGTTCCTCGAGCAGAGAATGCACAGAGACTAGGTTACCGGCTATTCCCACTGTAAGCAATGCCATGCCTGTGTAGAAGAGGGCTTTTTGCGTGCGGCCGATGCACTGTGGCTCATATTGTTTGCACGTGCCTGTCGAATTGGCAAGAACTGGCGGTGTTGACATTGCAACAAAGCTGATTCCCTGAATTTCAACGGTGAAATCAAAAGCTTATGAAACATATAGAAAAGCTTCAGATAAATCCAGCCACCGTGTTTTCGTAATGACTTGTCAATGTGCAACATTCATTTGAAAAGCGAAACGAAAATTATCAGCTAATTAATTTCTTGAAATGGTTTCTCAAACTCACCAGAGTGTAAGCTGTGCTAGAAATCACGAGCATCGTGAAATTCCCGATGAAGGCGTCGACTAGGAACAGGAAAAAAACCGGCAAAACCATAGAAATTCCATTCCAGAAGTTCAAAATACCAGCGGCGTGAGTAAAGCTTAGTTTCCACACATCGGTTAGGTAACTTTGCATCACAAAGAATGCATATGCCACCAATATGTCAGCCCACAATAGTCCTGCAATTAAATTTTTGGAAATCCAATCATGAGATGAAATAAATGAACATATAATAGCTTCGAAAGAAGTTATATTCTTTTACCAGAGATTCGGACAAAGCTTTTCATAATTAACCGCCGCTAACTGCAAATCAACTACAGCCAAAAAGCAACAAGATAAAAGCAGAGAAGCTGAGATTCAACTTAAAATCAAGAAACAGAGGAATCAGAAACGACGCCGCATTTGTTGAGCAGAGCAACACATTGCAAGCTGAAACGAACGAACCCACTTCAATTTTGTTTACGAATTCTCAGTCACGCATTCTGTCATACACATACCGCGCAGAGGGGGAGATAATGGTGACAGCCGCCATTTTAGCCTGTGAAAACGAATCTTCTTCTCTTTCTCTTTCTCTTTCTTGATTGGTTGAAAATAGCAGCAGCACACCTTCCCCGGATTTATTAATCTTTCTATATTTTTCTACATAATTGTTCACACCATAACTACCAGGAGTAAACTGAGTTGACCTTGACTCGGCAAAAACAGAGGAGAAAATAAATAGAAAATAATTATATCCGACAACCATGTTTGAAGCTGCTCTCTAATTTCTTCTTTATGTCACAATCGAAGAATAACTTTTTTTTTAATCTTTCAGTGAGCTGTTCCTTTTCTACAGCTCAAGCATACGAAGTAAATCTATACGAAGGTACAAGATGACAACAAATGTACGCACTAATGGGGAATCCGGTTTAGTACAAGATGGTTTAGGAATCACCTTTTTAGGTATTTTTCAATTTTCAGACTCTTGAAAAATCCAATTTTTTGTTGAGTAATTTTTGGGACAAGTACAGTTTTCACTACTTTAAGTTTGCACTTATTACATATTTGGTCCCTCATATTCAAAAAACATATATTTGGTCCATCATATTTTAATAATTTAACATTTCTTGTCGTTTTTGTCAATTTACTGTTAGTTCGTCGGTTAAGGCGATGACGAGCACACGCTTGATTCCGTTAGTACTTAGTACTAACAGAAAATTGACGGAAAAATATTAAAAATATTGAATTTTTGAAACATAAGGAACCAAATGTGGTTTTTATGAATATGAGAGACTAAATATAAACCCAGTGCAAACTTGAGAGATGAAAATTCTAATTTTCCGTGTTTTTAGACCATATTCAAAGAAATTTTTTTGAGTGCAAACTTGAGGAGAAGATGAAAACTGTATAATTATTATATTAAAAAAAAACAAGAACGTATTCAGAGAAATTTCAGTTTCATTATGCTGAGTTGGAAATGATTGCAGCATTTTAGACCTTTTCGAAAAGTTTATTAATTATTTATTAGATATAGCTAAGCCAAAAAATGCTTACTATCAAGAATTATATTCAAAATTCCAGCAGCAGCAGTTGCAGGTGATGTTGCAGGTCCAGTTTGAGGTTGAAGTTGAATGACCGCAGTGGAGTGCATTATTAGTCACACGACTACGTGTACGCGGTTCTTCTCTTTTCAATTTCGATTCCTTGTACCGATAAAGTACCGCCACGACTACAAATATTACGAGATTGACACCCATCAACCAAGCCAATGTCCAATAGTACTTATCAACTCTACTTGCATTAATGCTGTGTTGAAACCAGTTGGTCTTCCCTCCCTTTTCGCTTATCCTCCCCACGACAAACACCGTCAAAATGCTCGTGAGAATCCCGACACCCGAAACAAATCTATTGTAAAGGGGCAAGTACCTCTGCATCGCAAATGGCGCTTGGTCGTCGGTGAAGAAGTAATAGCCGCTTGAGATTAAAACCCCGTCAGACGCCCCGAGTAAAACAAACTGCGGAAGCAACCAAAACATGGTCATAGGCAATCTTTCGTCGTGCTTATCGACTAAACCGTGCCTTCGGGCAACCCCAAGCCTTCGGTTCTCCACTTTAGCGGCAGTTATGCAGCAAAGTATCGCGAGTATCATCGATACCGCAATCCCCATTGTAGGAGCTATCTTTTCCGACCCTGGTTTGCGGACGCCTATTGAATGATAAAGGCGAGTACAAAAGTTGGCACATTTTTTTGTGATTTGCTGGTGTAACCAAAGGAAGGCTACAATGGGAACCTTGAGGCGCCCGACTTTCGGGTTCATGTGGTTTAATTGCTCGATGAAGTACGTGAATACTAATGCTGTTACAACACCGCAAAAGATGAAAGTCATCCATACAGGAATCATGCATACGATGGTTTTCGTCTCCTCCACTTCTGTCACCCTGCAAAGCCCCCACGCATTATTTTCTTGTTCTTCCAGAGGTTTTGTAGGTATTACGATTGCCGCCTTGTCCAAACACCTATGGACCGTACGATACGTCAGATAAGTATGTTGATCATTTCATAATTGGATAAAAAAAAAAGAGGTAATTAGTTAATAATTAACCTGAGGCTCCCCGAATGGGGGAGCAGAGCAAGTTGAGAATTCCGGACCTCAAATAGTTCATTAGCATCCGTGGGGATTGTATAAAGCAACTTGGAAACAGCGGCCACAAACACTCGGATGAATATCGTCACAGGGCTTCCCTTCGGCTTTAAATTGTACTTGTTCAGACGACGCAAGGTAGTCGAAAATAGGAAAGTGGCGACAAGAGCACATATGGCCGGAATACCGAACCGTAGGGACCACGGATTAACGTAGGGGAGCCCTAAGACTGCAACGGAAGGGACGATAATGTTTGCAACGTCATAAAAGAACTTGGTAAACACTTTTGATCCTCCATCGTTATTGCCCTGATTTCCTCCCCTGCTGAGTTGCTCGTCGTAGAAAATGGTGGTACAAGACAAGTGGCCAGCCATCCCAAAAACTATCAAAGGCATTGCCGTGTAGAAAAGTATTTTTTGGCCTTGCCCGATGCATTCAGGGCTGTACTCGCTGCAGTTCCCCATACTACGCGCTAGCACAGGTGGAGTCGACATAGTCAAAAATCCCAATCCCTGAAAACACACACACACGTGCGCCCACACAACCATTTGATACTACAGAATTATACGATATATATACAAATTATTTGAGAGGTTGAGGATCTTTACGGCACTAAAGGAAATGTTCGAGATGAAGATCATCCAGTAATTTCCGAGGATGGTGTCAGCTAAGAATGCGTGGAGTAAAGGGAATACCGCATAGAGACCCCAAAACACATTGACGATTGTAGCCGCATGGGTTAAACCGGGCTTCCAAACGTCGGTCAAGTATGCCATCAATAACCATAGCATATATAACGCCAGTTGATCCGCCCATATTAGCACTGCAAACATGCACGGTGAAAACATGATGAACTTCACTAGGTGTACGTATGTAGCATAGTATAAACCGATACATATATAATTAGACGAGACCGGATAAATATATGTATGTATGTGTGTGTGTGTGCGCGCGCGCGTGCTTACCCATTACTCTCCCAAATGTTGCCATTTGAGCTTTTTAGTCAATGTCTCACTTTCTTCGCCTGAAAAACTTGGTTTCGTATGTGTAGCCCATTATCGGAAGAGACGTACACTCTTATATAGTGTTAAATTATATAATTAGAAAGATAACGATGACGACGACCTAAGAATTAATATAATGAATTATTGAAGCATTTTCGGCGATTTTCGGCCAGCGCGTAAACTAATTAAGATCTAATGAGATAGATAACTATATACTATAGCATTTGAATTATGTAAATACTGGAAAGTAACGTGTTAGTTCATTATCCAGAACCATTATTATTTATCATGTGCAAGAAGGAATATATGGTTGACTTGGTTACAGCCTATGAGCGTTGACCTGTAAAGTCGTTACGACGTTAACTTAGAGGCTTAAAAGTTAAAAGTCAACGCGAAGCTACTTATTTTGCTAAGTTATACTTTCTTAATTGGTTTACCTTAGCTAGTGCATTATTAGGGTATTAAATAAATAAATCTTATTAGTATATATTTTTCTTTAATTTATTTGTGTGCCTGATTTTGTAAAGAAAAAAATAATAATAAAAAACTAATTTTGTTTTGTCTATCATTACACTTCATTTGAATTTGTTTAAATAAGATGCTAAAATTATGGTTACGCATAAAATATAAAAAAATAAAAAATAAAAAGTTTTAATAATTAAAATGATTTGAATCGCTAACAATCGATACAATCATGTCATTTTTTAATACTTAAATCTATGTTCTAATTTTAATTCAGCCACCTTCAACCGTTCCACAAGGCCCCCAGTTTATTTGTTAAATTTTCAGTTAATTATGTCTTTGTTTACAAAATACTTTATAATATTTCAAAATAAATAGAATTACCACATCCAAAATCAAGCTGGTAAAAATAAAAATAATAAATAATTACATTATTGTACTCTTATTCACAGCGTAAATTAGTTAAGGGGTGGAGGGCCAATCCAAATCCTTAATAATTATATTCATAATTCCAGCAGCAGCAGTTGAGGGTCAATGTGCGGGTGACGTTAACATTATCAAACCCCACGTCACCTATTTCTTCATCTTTCAACTTTGATTCCTTGTAACGGTAAATAACCGCCACAACTATAAACACAACAAGATTAACCGCCATCAGCCAAGCCAATGTCCAGTAATACTTATCAAGCCTACTTTGATTCAAATCATGTTGAAACCAATTCATTTGTTTCCCTCCCTTTTCACTTATCTTCCCTACAACGTAAACCGACAAAATGCTCCCGAGAATACCGACACCCCACACTCCGCTAAGGAAAAACCCCAAGTACCTCTGCATCGACACCTGTGATTGGTCAACGAACCTCTGGATCGAGCCAGGGGATAGGCTAAGGAACCTCTGCATCGACGATAGGTCAACGAAGAAGAAACCGGCGCTCGAGTTGAAAACCCCCTCAAACGCCATGAGCAGAAGAAACTGCGGAAGCAACCAAAACATAGTCATAGGCACTCTTTCGTCGTGCTTATCGACCAAACCGTGCATTTGAACCACCCCAAGCCTTCGACTCTCCACTGTTGGTTTTTGGCCCAAATGTGTTTTGGGCCAGAGAGCCCAATTACCCTCCTATTTTATACACCACCATTTGAGTTAGGCCCAAAAGGAGTAAGTGAGCCCAAGTCCATATCTGAGCTAAATCCATCCGTTGAATTTCTGGCTGAATCTGGACCGTTTATTCCCTCACTTAAATACTCTATTTTCTCTCCTATTTTCTCTCATTCTGAAACCCTAGCTTTTACTTCTTCTTCTCCGCCGCTCCTGCTTCTGTCTTCTTTCTCCCTTGTACTGCCTTGACTGTTAATGGCTGGAGGTCAAAGAGCATGGTACATAGCTGACTTTGACCCTCCAGTACAGCCTTCACCGGCTCTATTTGACTTCAGTCTCTATTACTGGCATGGAGATTGGAAGAGGATAAGACACAGATTAAACCCTAGACTCGACCTAAATCTCTCAGTTTTTCTATTTGTGAATTCTGAAATTGGGGTTTTGGTAAGTGTGTAAGCTTGAGTGCTTGATCTGTTCTTTCCTTTGTGATATTCTGGGTAAACTAGGGTTTGTGTGTTGAGAGAGAAAGAAAATTTGTTCTTCTTTGAAGTACTCCGGTGGTGTATATTGAAAGTGTGAATCTCTGGTGTGAAAATTGGAAGACTGAGCTGATATTCTCAATCTATTTATCTTTCAATTTATTCACATTTTATCTCTATCTTTCTGTTATACATAAGTATATATATTCTCCTTGGCAGTAATCAATACTGCTCAAGGGGAACTTATATTAATCTAGGCTTTATGGAGCTGGGCAGTTTGATACCCTACAACCACTTTAGCGGCAGTTATGCAACAAAGTATCGCGAGTATCATCGATGCCGCTATCCCGAACATAGGCGCTGCAGCTATACGGCTGACTTGTTTACAGCCTAGACTGAGAGTTGACCTGCAAATAAAAGTCGTTAAGACGTTAACTTAGATTTTGTAAGTTGTACTTAAAAGTTAAAGGGAAGAAGGTACTTATTTCGGTAATAAAATATTCCGTACCAGATTAACCAGATGGATAAATCGAATCCCGCCGCCTGCAGATTGTACTGCAGCAGCAGCAGCAGCTTGTTCCTTCTTCACATCAAGTTCCTTGACACAATACGAAATTGCCGCCACTACAAACATTACAAGATTGACAGCCATAAGCCAAGACAAAGTCCAGTAATACTTATCGACTCTACTTTGATTGATATCGAGTTGAAACCAGTTCATTTTCCCTCCTCTTTCACTTATCTTCCCCAAAACATGCACCGACAGAATATTTCCCATAAACCCGACACCGTACACACAATCAACGAGATGTGGCAAGAACTTCTCCATAAAGACCGGGATATTATCCTTGAAGAATAATACTACACTTTTTTTCAAAATCCCCTCAAAAATCCCGGCCAAAAGAAACTGAGGAAGCAACCAAAACATATTCATAGGCACCGTTTCATCGGGTTTATCGACTAAGCCGTGACTTCGAACCACTCCAAGCCTTCGACTCTCCACTTTCGCAGCAGTTATGAAGCAAAGTATACCGATTATCATTGATGTAATAATCCCAACAAAACTGGACATTTGTAACCTTGATCCGGAGAAAGACTTTGTAACCTTACGATAACATCTCCCACATACATTTACGAATATTATGTAGGGCATAATAAATACTACAATGTGAACTTTGACACGCCCTACTTTGGGGTTCATGTGATCTAATTGGGCCACGAAGTAGGTGAGTGGAGTGGCTGAAACGACACCACATAAGATGAAAGTCAGCCATACGGGAATCGTGCGCACGACGGCTTTAGTCTCTTCCACTCGTGTCACCCTGCAAAGTCTCCACCACTGTTCATCTAGGGTTTGTGTAGGTATTACAATCGCAGCCTTGTCCAACCACCTTTATATGTATATATATATATATATATATATATATATATATATATATATATATATATATATATATATATATATATATATAGAGAGAGAGAGAGAGAGAGAGAGAGAGAGAGAGAGAGAGAGAGAGAGAGAGAGAGAGAGAGAGAGAGAGAGAGACTATGGGTGCAAGTCAACTCAGAGGAACAAGACAACTAAAATGAAATTTTATTACAGTTCATTTTGTGTAGATATAATGTGAATGATAGATGACGTTAACAGCTATATAGTTAATTATATATCGAAAATATTATAACATAATTATGATTAATCAGAATTGGTCTTCGAAAAATTCGAAACGATTATTTTAGTCCCGCTATTGAAGTGGCATGAAGCAAACAATTTCCTTTGACGGAAAAGCTATAATACAGGAGCATTCGGAATCAGTTCATTTACTTAAATTGTTATTATTCTTGTTGTACGTACGGCGTCGAAAATCTAGTTTAATGTATTCTGTCCTAGTGTACGAATTAAATACAACAAACCAATTTGATTTATAATAAAAGGGAAATTAATTAACGTGTTAGTTCATGATTACGGGTTGGAGTTAACTTAATGCTAAAAAAAATCCAGAACCATTGTTATAAATCAAATGAAAGAGGGAATATATGGCAGACTTTGTCCATATATAGCCTATGAGCGTTGACTTGCAAAGTCGTTTACAGCATATGAGCGTTGACTTGCAAAGTCGTCGTTACGACGTTAATGATTAGGACTTGAAGATGTACTTATATATTAATTAGGTACATGAACATGACTAGACAGCTCAACTACTCTCAGTCAGACATTCTTTCAAACACGTAGAGGGCACAGAGAGAGAGAGAGAGAGAGAGAGAGAGAGAGAGAGAGAGAGAGAGAGAGAGAGAGAGAGAGAGAGAGAGAGAGAGAGGGGTTACCTGAGATAATGGTGACAGACAGCCGTTTTAGCCTGTAACAAACGAATCTTCATCTCTTTCTTGATTGGTAGAAAAATAGCAAGTTGAATAGATTTCACGATATAGCTTCGCCAGATTTAGCATCTCTCTTCATCATTGTTCACTCAGCACCATAACTACCGGGGTATGATAGAGTAGACTGAGTTGACTTTGACTTGGCAAAAACGTGAGAGAAAATGAAGAGAAAAATAAATAACCCATTCACCAGGCGGTGTTTGCAAAAGCTTGTTTCAAAGTTGAAGTTATTGACCAGGAGTTAAGTTGGGTTGGTTTAAGTGATTATTTTAATGGCTAAATTCTATTTTCTGTATTTTTGGCTCCATATCACACTTCATCCCTTCTACTCCCAATTAATTGATTTGGCATTCGGGAACTTATAAAATTGTCTCAATGTTACCCTCGCCGTTAGTTTTCACATATTTGTCACCAAAATTGTTTGATCTAAGTCTGAAAATTACAAAAAACCACCCTCTCAATTTTAATAATTATTAGAAGTGACTGGTTCTTATTATCTTGAATTTTTTATTTTTTGTTTTTATATTTATTTTTTTGTTTTTTTAATAATTATTTAAACCAGAAGAACTTAGATTATAAGTTATATTTAAATTGTAACTAGACTAGTATGAATAGGATACCCCGCTTGTTCAATTTAAAAATATCAAATATATTTGCCTTCTTTTTTTCATCTTCATATCTCCTATAGCAGTTGATAATATATAAGAAGTTTTAAATTTAATTTATCATAGATTATACAAAAAAATAAAAAAATAATAACAATAAACACACTTGCCCAAGATGATCACATTTTAATTTTAGAGCTTATTCTAGCTCTTAGACATGATCTAGCAGCAGCAGCAGAAACAACATTCTTGATTACTGCTAACGTACGGCTGACCGGATTGCGCAGCCGCTTGTTCATCTTCCAACTTCCATTCATTAAAACGATGCAGTGCAGCCACAACTATAAACGCGACAAGATTAACCGCCATGAGCCAAGCCAATGTGTAATAGTACTTATCAAGCCTACTTTGATCCAAATCATGTTGAAACCAATTCATTTTGCCTCCCCTTTCACTAATCTTCCCCACAACAAACACCAACACACTATTGGCTAGACACCCGACACCCAACACGCAGGAGATGAAAATCGGCAAGTACCTGTCCATCACCACATCGGAATCTTTGACACTGAAGAGGCATAAAACACTAACGTCGAAAATAAAGCGAAACACCCCTAACAAAATCATCTGTGGGAGCAACATAAACATGCTAAGGGACCCCACTTGCTTTCGGACATGGTCAAGCCTTTGACTCTCCACCTTAGCACAAGTTATGCAGCAAAGAATCGCGACTATCATGGATATCACAATCCCGACAAAACCGGACATTCTCACCCTTGATACGAAGAGATTTGGTTGGATTCTAATACAGACTAGCGTACAATGTTGTATGACTTTTGATTGGAACCAGATGAGGACTAGAATCGGAACCTTGACTCCCACGATTTTGGGGTTCATGTGGTCCAACTGCTCCATGAAGAAGGTGTATGGCATCGATGAAACAACACCGCATAAGACGAAAGTCATCCATACGGGAATCATGCGTGTGATTGCTTTAGCCTCTTCCACTTGTGTCACCCTGCAAAGTCTCCACGTCTGTTCCGGTATAGGTTTCGGTATTACAATCGCAGCCTTGTCCAACCACCTGCCCGAATTCTGACATGTCATATATATGATGATGTATATGAGAGAGAGAGAGAGAGAGAGAGAGAGAGAGAGAGAGAGAGAGAGAGAGAGAGAGAGAGAGAGAGAGAGATCAGGGTAATAGAATTGATTAAACCTGAGGCTTCTGGAATGGGGAACAAAGTGAAGTTGTGAATTATCTTGGATCTCGTATAATTCCCAAGCATCGGTAGGGATTGTGTAGAACAACTTGGAAAACGCGGCGAAAAGCACTTTAAAGAAGGTCATAAAAGGGCTTACTCCTCCAATTGGCCGCCCGATAAACTTGAAAGTAGACGCGGCGCTGAAAAACAGGACAGCGGCCACAAGACTGCATATAGCTGGAATCCCGAACCGAAGAGACCAGGGCTTAATGTAGGGTAGTCCTAACACCGCAATCAAAGTGAACACTGAAGAAGATAAACCAGAGAAACGTAACACTAGCCCATCAAACTCCATACTAATTCGGTCGTCTATTATTGCTTCTCCTTTCCTGAACTGCTCTCTCATGAATTCGTACAAAGAATCAAAATGCCCAGCCATCCCAAAAGCTATCAAAGGCAAAGACATGTAGAGAAGTACCCGTTGGCCTTGCCCGATGCATTCTGCGCTGTATTCGCTGCAGTTTCCCGAAATGTGTGCTAGGACTGGTGGAGTTGACATTGCTAAAAATCCTAATCCCTATAACCACACAAACACAAACACAAACACAAACACACTGATTAATTTATAAGAATATAGAAATTTTGTTATATATAGATAGATGATCATGAGGAATTAATATTTACGTACGGCACTAAGAGAAACGGTTGAGACGATGACTGACCAATAGTAGCACATGACCGTGTCGATTAAGATAGCGATGAAGAATGGAGATAGCAAGACGAAACTCCAGAAGATGTTGACGATTGCAGCGGCTCGGCTTATACTCACATCCCAAACGGAGCTCAAGTATGGCATCAACATCCATATCGCATATAAAGCGATGATGTCGAACCATAGCAACACTGCATAAAGTTTATATTATTTTTTTTTTAAATCAGATTAACAGAAGCTACACAAAATAATCAGGAAATAATGGGAAAGAAAAAAATTAAATTATTATGACGGATATTAACATATAATCAATCTTCGTTTCGATCGATCGATCTGCGTGCACTTACTCGCTACTCTCTCGAATCTAAATGCTGCCATTCGAGTTTGTTCAATGTCTTTTAATTTTTATTTTATTTTTCGCTGGTAAATATATATATATATATATATATATATATATATATATATATATATATATATATATATATATATATGTACATAAGAAGATCAAAGGTAATGGCCTGAAAATGTAGTGGGATAATTATTAATTAGTATTTTGTTTGATTTTTTTGGCAGCATGATAAAACCGAGAATATGTAACTGCAACTGTGCAATATAATTTGCACGTTGACTTGCAAAGTCGTGGCATCGTTGATTATATGGGATTGATTTGTTTATAGCCTATGAGACGTTGACTTGCAAAGTTTGTAATATACTAATTCAAAGTTCATTATCTCCTAAAAATGGAAGGAAAAGAAAAACAGAATAGGCCAACAAATCAAGTGTGCTTTAGTTTTAATTGTAGTATGAAAGTACTGTCATATGTATGTATAATATATCCGGAATTGCTTTCGGATCGGAATTTGGAAATTCTGATTCCGATCCCATTATATTAGAGAATCGAAATCAAATAAATTATTCAAAAATTAGAAAATTCCGTTGATTTCCACCCATGCAGCTGCAATAAGAGTACAACACTGAAAAAAATAAAAAAAATGTAATTAATTGTGAAGATGATGATTAGGATTAATTATTCTATGACCGATCGAGAGTACTCTCGTAACTGTTGCCATTTGATCTTGATAATTATAGACTAATTAATCCTACCATGATCATCTTCATAAAAGAGAGATTATAATAAATAAATAAATAATGGAACCAGTCAACTCGAAAAAAAAAAACAAGAACATATTCAGAAATTTCAGTTTCATTATGCTGACTTGGAAATGATTAAATTGCAGCAATTTAGACCTTTTCAACAAGTTTATTAATTATTATATATTGTAGCTAAAGCAAAAACGAGCAGCATTAATCAGTTATAAATGCCCAGCCTGTCATATACATACTCCCTCCGTTCCATAATTTATGTCGCTTTAGAGATTTTTTTCTATTTCATATTATCTGTCACTTTAAATTTCAAACATTTTATTAATTATTTAATTTTCAGTATATACCCTTATTAACTCTTTCCAATAGGTTTTTTAAACTAGTTTTTCTCTCTTATTAATTATAAGTCAAGGTCATTTTAGTCTAAATGCATACATTTTCCTAAAATGAAGACACATTTAATAAAATTCTTAATCTTCCTGCAAAGCTAAAAAACGACAGTTAAAAGGAAACGGAGGGAGTATAATTTATCCAAATCTTAATAAACAAGAAAAATATTTCATCAAAAGTCAAAACCACACCCAAAAATAAAGCTGGTAAAAATAAAAATAAAAAATTAATTACATTATTGTACTCTTATTCACAGAGAGTAAATATATTAATTAGGGGGTTCCAAATCCTTAATAATTATATTCATAATTCCAGCAGCAGCAGTTGAGGGTGAATGTGCGGGTGACGTTAACATTATCAAACCCCACGTCACCTAATTCTTCATCTTTCAACTTTGATTCCTTGTAACGGTAAATAACCGCCACAACTATAAACACAACAAGATTAACCGCCATCAGCCAAGCCAATGTCCAGTAATACTTATCAAGCCTACTTTGATTCAAATCATGTTGAAACCAATTCATTTGTTTCCCTCCCTTTTCACTTATCTTCCCTACAACGTAAACCGACAAAATGCTCCCGAGAATACCGACACCCCACACTCCGCTAAGGAAAAACCCCAAGTACCTCTGCATCGAGACTTGTGATTGGTCAACGAACCTCTGGATCGAGCCAGGGGATAGGCTAAGGAACCTCTGCATCGACGATAGGTCAACGAAGAAGAAACCGGCGCTCGAGTTGAAAACCCCCTCAAACGCCCCGAGCAGAAGAAACTGAGGAAGCAACCAAAACATAGTCATAGGCACTCTTTCGTCGTGCTTATCGACCAAACCGTGCATTTGAACCACTCCAAGCCTCCGACTCTCAACTTTAGCGGCAGTTATGCAGCAAAGTATCGCGAGTATCATCGATGCCGCTATCCCGAACGTAGGCGCTGCAGGTTTTTTCAAACCTAAACAAGTAATGAAAACAACGGAAGATAGTTCCGCGAATTTTAATTTGGCTTGCTCGTATAACCAAATAATGACTACGAGGGGAACCTTGAGGCGCCCAACTTTTGGGTTCATGTGATTTAATTGCTCGATGAAGTAGGTATATCCGACGGCTTTTACAACGCCACATAGGATGAAAGTCGTCCACAGAGGAACCATGCGCACCACTTTTTTCGTCTCCTCCACTTCTGTAACCCTACAAAGCCTCCATGTATTCTTCTCTTGTTCCTCTAGAGTTTTTGTAGGTGTTACAATTGCTGCCTTGTCCAAACACCTGTTCGAATCAATCGTATATGTATTAGATAAATGTCCGAAAATGGGAAATTTTGAGATATCATAATCCGGAAAAAAAAATAATTATTATTAAATAACAACCTCAGGCTCATCGTATGGGGAACCGAATAACGTTGAGGATTTTGGATCTCGAATAGGTCCTTCGGGTCTGTGGGGATTCTGTAAAACAACTTGGAAAAGGCGGCCACAAACACTCGAAAGAGAATCGTCAAAGGGCTTCCGTTTGCCTTTGAACTATTCTTGTACGAACACAAGGTACTGAAAAACAAGAGAGTTGCGACAAGAGTGCATATCGCAGGAATACCGAACCGTAGGGACCATGGATTAACGTAAGGGAGCCCTAAGACTGCAACGAGAGTGACTACGAGACGTGGTAAATCACCGTAAACGAACCACACACAATTTTTCCAGGTAACATTGGTTTGTCCAGTGGTGTTGGCTCTCTCCGCGATGAATGTGCTGCAACAAGTCAAATTTCCAGCAAGTCCGAATGCTATTAAAGGCACCGCTGTGTAGAGAAGTGCTTTCTGGGGTTGGCCAATGCATTCAGGTTTGTATTCGCTGCAGCTTCCGGTACGCTGTGCTAGCGGTGGGGTCGACATCGTCAAAAGTCCCAATCCCTGAAATAAAAAAAAAAAATTGATTGTACGGTCGATACGAGTTAATTGAAGGCCGGGGGGATGAGGGATAATAATTTACGTACGGCACTAAATGAAGCGGTGGAGATGAAGAGCATCCCGTAAGTGCTGGTGAGGGAGTCAACTATGAAGGCCTGGAATAAAGGGAATAGAGCAAAGAGACCCCATAAGATAGTGACTATCGTAGACGCGTTTGTGATTTCGAGCCTCCAAACGTCGGTCAAGTATGCCATCAATAACCACATCGCATATACAGCCAATATGTCGGCCCATGCCAGCACTACACGCAAACATGCAAGGTGAAACAAGCTCATATATTATCACAAAAAACAATAGAAGCTAAAATACATATATATACATGTGTGTGTGTGTGTGTGAATATATATGTGCTTACCCAAAACTCTCCCATATGTTGCCATTTGAGAGTGTCAATGTACAATACTCTGCCTGAAAAGTTTGTTTGGTTTATAGACAATGTAGAAGTATGGAGAGCCGTACAATATATATATATATATATATATATATATATATATATATAGAAAAATAATGACGAGGTAAGAATGTAGACGACGATTCATGCATTGTCATTATTTTTTGGCCAGCGCGTAAACCGATCGAAGACTAATTATGAGATATAACTTGTATGAAGTACAATTTGAAATGGTCAAAGTCAACTTCCGGATAATCCATACCATACATAATTCTGATTAATTAGAATTAGTATAAAAAAAAAAAAAAAAAAAAAAAGAATTTGTCTGAAAAAGTGGTTGGCATGGCTCATGAGGAAACAATTCCCTTTGACAGAAGATATTTGAATTAAGTTCATTTGACAGAAGATTGTTTATATTCGGTAACGTGTTGAAATAGTCATTTGCGTAGATTACTCTTAGTGTCATGGACGTTGACTTCATTTGCGTAAGTTGTTTACTCTTTGGAGCTGGGCAAATTCAATTATACATAACCATTATTATAAGCTGTTACACTAAATAAAAGAAGGAATAATATATGGTTGACTTGTTCATCTCCCATGAGCGTTGACCTGCAAACTCTACGCAAATCAACTATTTCTGACATGTTCACTACAGCTAAATCAAACATGGTATTCATAAAAATAATAAAAAAATCGAACATGGGTATTATAGGCACGGTTATTATAAAAAAAATGTGAAAAAAAAAATTAAAAAAATTCAGAGGTTTTATTATCCTCACAAAATAAATGAATAAAAAATTAACTCTGAGAAAATTTATGTATAAACAATTGCAGAAGTACGAGGGAAGCCTAAAATTACAATTAGAAGTGGGTGGTGGTGTTGCTCACCGTTGAATGGTGGTGGTGGTGGGAGGGGGGGCGTTGACTGATGGTTACTTCCGTCATCGGCGGCGAACGGCAATCGACGACAGACATTGTTGGTGGTCGGTCCCGCAGTGAGAGATTCCAAGGGGCCGGTTTTAGATGGTAATTAATAAAATATGGGGCTTTTCCACTAAATTGAATGAGAAGGGTAATATGGTAACTTAAGGGGTTGTGGATTTTGAGAAGAGCAACAAGGTCTAGAGTTAAGCAATTTGGGGTGTTGCAAATAGCTAAGCCTTATGTTTATTACGCGGCCTTCAATCTTGGCACACCCCACATGGCCCACTAATCCAACTATACTTCAAATTCCAAATCCAACTTTTCTAATTTATCCACGAATAAGTAGTAAACAAGAACAATATTCAATGGTGAAAGTCAACTCCCAGAAAAACGGAAAAAAACGATACCGCCACTATGAATATTACGATATTGACACCTAGGGGTGAAAGTCGGATGGATCGGATCGGAATTAGCCTTTCCGGAAAATTTCCAAAAAATTTCGAAAGTACAAAATCAATTCCAATTCCAATTTCAAAATTTTCGGAATATAAAACTTTATTTCAATTCCAAAAGGCCCGGAAATTTCAGAATTTCGAAAAAAAATCGGAAATCACATAAGCTTTAAAATTTCAAAACTTAGCCGAAATTTCCTAAAATGTTCATAATTTTTCGAAAATAAGAGCATCCACGTCGATAAAAGTAAAACTAATAATTACTAAATTTCAGTTCAAAAAATAAAATAAAAATAAACACAACATAATATCCAATAAAACATCTAACAACAATTCATTATGTCAAAATCCTAAAACAAAACTTATAGGTGTATTTTTCGGAAAATAAGTATTATATAATATATACTATTTATAGGTGTATTTTTCGGAAAAAAAATTGGAATTTTTCAGAATTAATTTCGGAATTAAATCGGATCAAAAATCGGAAATTCCAAATTTATTTTATATAATTCCAATTCCAATCCAAAAAAATTGAAAAATTTCGGAAATCGGAATTTCAGAAGTCGGAATGAAAAAAGTTATTCCAAAATCGGAACTTTTCGGATCGGAACCGGCGGAAATTGGAAAATCCGTTCCAACTTGCACCCCTATTGACACCCATTAACCAAGCCAACGTCCAGTAGTACTTATCAAGCCTACTTTGGTTAAGACCGTGTTGAAACCAATTCGTTTTCCCTCCTCTTTCACTTATCTTCCCCACAACAAACATCGACAAAATGCTTCATAGAACACCAACACTCGAAACACAACTATGGAAAAACACCGAGTACCTCTGCATCGATCGGGACAAAGAATTCGTGAAAGACCGTGGTGCATAAATACAGCAAAGTATTATCGCAAGTATCATCGATATCACAATCCCAACTGATGAAGCAAACTTTCTTGGCGCTAACTTGGTCAAGTGTAACATATCAAGTAAATGACCAGAGAATTCCACACATTTCACATAGCAAATTTTTATTATATAATTTGAATTTCATTAATCATCAAACATATACTTGATCAATATAATATATATATACACTATAGTAGTTGCTAAAAATTGCTGTTAAATTAAAGTTTTAATAAATTTCAAACATTTATGTAAATCAATTGCTTTATAATATTTCGAAATAAATAAAACTTATCTGTATTTTCTCAAACGAACAGTAAGTATTTAAGTTTGGCAGTGGTTAAAGTATAAGATGCCTCTGGAAAGAAAAATCACAAATTACAAAGATTAAACCTTGTACATATCATACAGTTCAACACACACAAGAAATTAATTATTGCAAATTTACTCTTATTCTCCGAGTTATCGTCGTGAATTACATTTCACCACGTTGTGCAGCCGCCTCTTGATCTCTCAACCGGTTCCCCTTGTGACGATAAAACACCGCCACGACTATAAACACAACAAGATTAACCGCCATGAGCCAAGACAATGTCCAGTAGTACTTATCGAGCCTACTTCGATTCAAATCATGTTGAACCAATTCATTTTCCCTCCGTTTTCACTTATCTTCCCGACAACGAACACCATCAAAATGCTCCCGAGAATCCCAATACCGGAGATTCCACTATTGAATAGCCCCAAGTACCTCTGCATCACGATGTGTGGTTGGTCAATGAACCTCTGCAACGAGGCAGGGGATCGGTCAATGAGCTCCTCCGTCAACTCATCTGGTTGCTCAAGGAACCTCTGCATCCATGATAGGTCAACGACGAATAAATTTGCCCCGGAGGTTAAAAACCCCTCAAACGCCCCGAGCAAAATAAACTGCGGAAGCAACCAGAACATAGTCATAGGCACTCTTTCATCGTGCTTATCGACCAAACCGTGCCTTTGAACCACCCCGAGCCTTCGACTCTCCACTGCGGCGGCAGTTATGCAGCAAAGTATCGCGAGTATCATCGATATCGCAATCCCAATTGAAGAAGCTAGCTTTTTCGAACCGGTGATCAAACCTAAAAAAGTAATCAAAACCGCACATGTTTGCGCAAATTTTAGTTTGGCTTGCTCGTGGTACCAAATAATGAGTACGAGGGGAACCTTGAGACTCCCAACTTTAGGGTTCATGTGATTTAATTGCTCGATGAAGTATGTGAATCCAACGGCTTTTACAACGCCACATAGGATGAATGTCAACCACACCGGAATCAGGCGCACAACGGATTTCGTCATTTCCACTTCTGTAACCCGACAAAGCCTCCACCTATTATTAGCTTGCTCCTCTACAGTCTTTGTTGGCATTAAAATTGCCGCCTTGTCCAAACACCTGTCCAAATCAATCAAGAATGAGAAAGTTTGAGATCATAATATGGAAAAAAGAAAAGAAAAAAAAAAGAAGGTAATTAATAATTATTAAATAACAACCTCAGGCTCATCGTATGGGGAGCCGAATAAAGTCGAGGATTTTGGATCTCGAATAGCTCCTTAGGATCTGTGGGGATTCTGTAAAACAACTTGGAAAAAGCGGCCACAAACACTCGAAAGAGAATCGTCAAAGGGCTTCCGTTTGGCTTTAAAGTATTCTTGTACGAACACAAGGTACTGAAAAACAAGAGAGTTGCGACAAGAGTACATATCGCAGGAATACCGAACCGTAGGGACCACGGATTAATGTAAGGGAGCCCTAAGACTGCAACGACAGTGAGTATGACACGTGGTAAATCACCGTAAACAAACCTCCCACAACAATTCCCCTCGGAATCGGTTTCTTCTGCGTTGATTCTCTCTGTGATGAATGTAGTGGAAAAATTCACATGGCCAGAAAGTCCGAATGCTATTAAAGGCAGCGCTGTGTAGAGAAGTACTTTCTGGACATAGCCGATACATTCGGGTTTGTATTCGCTGCAGCTTCCGGTACTGTGTGCTAGCACCGGCGGAGTCGACATTGTCAAAAGTCCCAATCCCTGAAATAAAAAAAAAAACAATTGATTTCAATTGCCAAAAGAACGTTTTACGATATACGAGTAATTCGAAGGGGATGTGGGATAATAATTTTACGGACGGCACTAAATGAAGCGGTGGAGATGACGAGCATCCCGTAAGTGCCGATGAGGGTGTCGGCTAAGAAGGCCTGGAATAAAGGGAATAATGAAAAGAGAGCCCATAAGATAGAGACAATCGTAGAAGCGTGTGTGAGTTCGAGCCTCCAAACGTCGGTCAAGTACGCCATCAGCAACAACATCGCATATATAGCCAATATGTCTGCCCATGCCAGCACTGCATACAATATATGCACGGTGAAACAAGCTCATATATTATCACAAACAACAACAGAAGCTAGAATACATATACATACATATATATGTGTGTGTGTGTGTGTGTGTGTGAATATATATCATGTGTTTATTATTACCCAATACTCTGCCATATGTTGCCATTTGAGCTTCTCAATGTGTTACAATTTTTTTCTGCCTGAAAAAAGACTTGGTTTGATCGTTCATATAGACAATGTAGATCTGGAAGAGGCGTACACTTTTTTTTTTATATATATAGTATTAAAAAATACATATACATGTATATATAATTATTATTAGAAATATAAGGACGAGTTACCATGTTCTTGCATTTTCATTAGTATTTCGTTAACCAAACTACAATTTGAAATGGTCTAAGTCAGATTCCGAATAAAACCCAGACAACAGGATACAACAAATAGTCTATATATATATCATAAAAAAAGCCACATGCATTATTATACATATCCATGTTGATATATATAAAACGTCATACAGATAGTTATATACATGGAAAATATTAGTATAATATAATTCTGATTTAGAGAATTAATGATCTGAGGGTAAAAAAGTCAATTCATTGTAAACCTCAGTTGTGATGATATTGATACTAGCTTTCATTAGAAACTGGCTATGCACAACATAAATTCAACTATGCTTAATCCCAAATCCATCTTTTCTAATAATTTTAATTACTTAAGAAATATATTTTTTTATTTTGTATTGATCCATGAATAAGTAACAGTGGTGGGCGGAAATGAAGGAAAAGTCGCAGAGGAGGTCGAGTCAATAATTGTAGGTGGCGGACGAAACAAGGAGAGAAAATAAAAGGCAAAAAAAAAATGTAATCCTGGCTCGCCAGAGTAGACGAAAAGGTTCGAGCAGCTTGAAATTAAATGAAAAAAAAAAAACAAATCTGCAAAGTGATTGGTGGAGGAAACCAAATTTAAACGACGCCGTTTTGGTCTTTATTGTACATGCATTCTTCTAAGGCCGCTCCGAATCATATACCTAATTAAGTTGAGAATCAATTAATGTCGAGGATATTTTAGTAATTTTATCTGTTTTTTACTATAATCTATGCACAGTTATTGATTTTCTTAATATGTGCAAAATAACCCAAAACGACATTTAAATTAGGACGGAGGGAGTAGTACAACAACTCCCATCTTCTATTAATTTAATTAATTTTCTTAATCACAATTAATTGCTAATTAATAAAACCTAATCACTATGCTGTACAAATGTGGTGCTGCCTATTTGAGGGCCATTATTTAGAAGGAAGTGGGAATATTATTTAAATAAATATTACCAGAATTAGGACAAAATATATATTATATAAAATTTCAACATAAAATATTAACCCCATTTTATAGTTTAAAAGATTTTGAGCAGTATAATATTAATTATGTTTAATAAATCTGATTAATTTTAATTGAAGCAATTAATTATGTGAATTATTGGATGAAGATACAACCAGTTTAATTAAGATATATCTAATGAACATTAACAATGTTCCCTCATTAATCCCACTAAACTCCTCAGCCTGTTGTTCCGCCAGCTCAGCTTCCTTACAACTAACTATAAACAATGAGAAGTTGACATGTAAAGTCGTTGTCGCTTTCTTTAATAATATAATTTCAATTTCATTAATCATCAAACATATACTTACTTGATCAATATAATATATAGACTATACATAGTATTTGTTAAAAATTGCCCTAAAATGAAAGTTTTTAATAAATTCAAGAGTTAGAAGAAATCTCATACAACACCCGATATATAAATATTTAAACATGACATAGTATATACAGTTCAACCTTTATTATGATGAAATAATTAAATAAAGCATTTTTATAATAGCAGCAGAAGAATTTTGAGTTGTCATCGTGAATTATATTCCACCACGTTGTGCAGCCGCCTCTCGATCTTTCAACCGGTTTTCCTTGTAACGGTAAATAACCGACACAACTATAAACACAACAAGATTAACCGCCATCAGCCAAGCCAGTGTGTAATAGTACTTATCGAGCCTACTTCGATTCAAATCGTGTTGAAACCAATTCATTTTCCCTCCCTTTTCACTTATCTTCCCGACAATGAACACCGTCAAAATGCTCGCGAGAATCCCAATACCGGAGAATCCACTATTGAAATGCCCCAAGTACCTCTGCATCACGAAATGTGGTTGGTCAATGAAATCCTGCATCGAGGCAGTGGTTTGGTCAATGGGCTCATCCATCGAGTCAAGGGTTTGCTCAATGAACTCCTGCATCAAGGATAGGTCAACGAAGAATATAATACTGCCGATGGTGAAAAACCCCTCAAATGCCCCGAGCAAAAGAAACTGAGGAAGCAACCAAAACATAGTCATAGGCACTCTATTATCGTGCTTATCGACTAAACCGTGCATTTGAACCACCCCAAGCCTTCGACTCTCCACTTTCGCAGCAGTTATACAGCAAAGTATCGCGATTATCATCGATATCGCAATCCCAATTGAAGAAGCTAGCTTTTTCGACCCGGTGATGAAACCTAAAGTGGTAATAAAAACAGCACATAGTTGCGCACCATTTAATTTGGCTTGCTCGTAGAACCAAATAATGAGTACGAGGGGAACCTTGAGGCGCCCAACTTTGGGGTTCATGTGATTTAATTGCTCGATGAAGTAGGTATATCCGACGGCTTTTACAACGCCACATAGGATGAAAGTCAACCACACCGGAATCAGGCGCACCACTTTTTTCGTCTCCTCCACTTCCGTAATCCGACAAAGCCTCCACTTATTATTTGCTTGCTCCTCTACAGTCTTTGTTGGCATTAAAATCGCCGCCTTGTCCAAACACCTGTCCAAATTTTGAGATCATAAGCTGGAAAAGGAAACAAAAAAAAAAGGTAATTAATAATTAGTTAATAATATAACCTTAGGCTCCTCGAATGGGGGACCAAATGAAGTTGAGAGTTTCGGATCTCGTATAGTTCATTAGAATCTGCAGGGACTCTATAAAAGAACTTGGAAACAGCAGCCACAAACACTCGAATGAGAATCGTCAAAGGGCTTCCATTTGGCTTTAAAATATTCTTGTACGAACACAAGGTACTGAAAAACAAGAGAGTTGCGACAAGAGTACATATTGCAGGAATACCGAACCGTAGAGACCACGGTTTAACGTAAGGGAGTCCTAAAACTGCAACGAGAGTGACTATGGCACGTGGTAAATCACCGTAAACGAACCACGCACAATTTTTCCAGGTAACATTGATTTCTCCAGTGGTGTTGGCTCTCTCCGCGATGAATGTGCTGCAAAAAGTCAAATTTCCAGCCATTCCAAATGCTATTAAAGGCACCGCTGCGTAGAGAAGTGATTTCTGAGGTTGGCCAATGCATTCGGGCTTGTATTCGCTGCAGCTTCCGGTACTGTGTGCTAGCACCGGTGGGGTCGACATGGTCAAAAGTCCCAATCCCTGAAATCGAAAAAACAATTGACTTCAATTGCAAAAGAACATTTTACGATGTACGAGTTATTCGAAGGGGATGATGGATAATAATTTTACGTACGGCACTAAATGAAGCGGTGGAGATGAAGAGTATTCCATAAGTGCCGGTGAGGGTGTCAGCTAAGAAGGCCTGGAATAAAGGGAATAGGTTGAAGAGAGCCCATAAGATAGTGACAATCGTAGAAGCGTGTGTGAGTTCGAGCCTCCAAACGTCGGTCAAGTACGCCATCAGCAACCACATCGCATATATAGCCAATATGTCTGCCCATGCCAGCACTGCATACAAACACAACAACAATAAATAGAAGGTAAAATATATGTACATGCATATATATATATATATATATATATATATATATTATATATATATATACATATATATATGTGTGTGTGTGTGTGTGTGTATGAATATATATGTGCTTATTACCCAATACTCTCCCATATGTTGCCATTTGAGATTCTCAATATGTTACAATTTGCTCTGCCTGAAAAAAAAAACTTGGTTTGATCGTTTATATAGACAATTAGGTTACAATTTTTATATATACAGTATCAAAATACATATACATGTATATATATTTAATTATTAGAAATATAAGGACGAGGTACCATGTTCTTGCAATTTCATTAATATTTCGTCAACGAAACTACAATTTGAAATGGTGAAAGTCAACTTCCCAATAAAATCCATACAACAGGATACAAGAATAGTCTATATATATTCATAAAAAAAGACACATACATTATACATATCCATGTTGATGTAAAGATAACGTTGTACATATAGTTATATATACTTGGAAAATATTAGTATAATATAATTTTGATTTAGAGAAATAATGATCTCAAAATTCCAATTAATATGATAACTAACGTGTTAGTCATGATAAGGTTGGGGGTAATTTGTCAAACCCGACCTGTTCATAAAATTGTAAAAAAAAAAAAAAAAAAAAAGCAAATAAAAAATAGTAATTGTACAATTAAAACAGTTTAAATGGCCCAAACAGAAAATTATACGTTTGGAAAGCTATGTGAAATTTTGAGAAAATATGGTCCCATAAAATTGCCAATTTCGTTAGACTCTCGTG